TCGCGTCGGCCCGATTTCGAGCCGACTGCTCAACACAGCAGTAGGGGTGATCCCACTGTAGCGACACCTACAGTGAGTGTTCGTCTTCGAATCTGCTCGACGATGTGCAAAAAGCATACGCAGAAGATTAGTCTCTTATGCGTTTGATGGATTACGTATCCAATCCGTGTAATAAAGCTTTGAAAAGCTTGTCGTCGTAATACCGCTCTTCTACCGAACGGTATTCTGTTCGTGATGTAATGCTGTACTGTACAGCAGTCAACGGCGACACACCTCGTGTTGTTGTTCCGGCTCATAACGATTTGCGATTGCGCATCATGTATGAGTGTCACGATGTCCCAACAAGTGGGCATAACGGTAGAGATGAGACTTACCTCATGGTGAGTCGTGACTTCTATGGGCCCCGCCAGTATGAGTTTGTGCGGAAATACATTCGCGCTTGCGAAGTTTGTCAACGGGTAAAGCCTAGACCTTCATCCCGCGCACACTTGCAACCTTTTACGATTCCGGCAGAGTGTTGGTAGTCCGTATCGATGGACTTCGTCTTCGGATTTTACAAAGACGTTCACAAGAATACTGGTATTCTTGTGTTTGTTGATCGGTTCAGTAAGATGGTACATATTGTTGCTGTACTGGAGTCAATCATAGCCCAGGGCTGTGTGCGCGTCTTCATCGATACTATCTTCCGACTTCACGGATTACCCCGTGAACTCGCTTTCGATAAGGACCCCCGCTTCACAGCGGAGTTCTGGCAATTCGTGTTCCGTTCACTTGGAACACGTTTGACGATGTCAACTTCTGACCATCCAGAATAAGATGGTCGGACGGAACGCTTCAACTGCGTCCTCAAAGAGATACTTCGAGGGTATGTCCACTCATTTACGAGCTGGAGTGAGTTCTTGCCGATGGCGGAATTCGCCATCAACAACTCGGTGCACGCGTCAACAACGCATACACCGTTCTTCGTGAAAGGCCTCCGCCATCCACGTTTACCCGCCTTCTTAGAGTGTGACTTAACATTGAGGGGGAGGGGGTTGACTCGCTCGAGCAAAAACCGATCTGGTTCTTGCTCATCATCCGTCGACAATGGTGTCGACGTGATGGATGCCGATGTAAAACACATCGACACCGATGACGATGACGACGATGCTGGTATATTCAGCATAACCAACGACTGCCACAGTGAGGACGATGACGCCATTACTGGTGAAGAAAACGGTCTTTCAGCAGTGCACACGAAGCGCACTGCTGTTGACAAGGATGAATCAGCAGAGGAATTTCTGCTGACTCGCGAAGCAATTGTCCGCTTCGTTCAAGACTCTACTGCAGATGCAATAGACAAGAATAAAATTAACACAGACAAACATGGAAGACCAAGAGTTCTTTCATTTGATAAAGGAGACCTAGGTTTACTGTCTACAGTAAACTTACCAAAACACGCAGCGAAAAACGTGGGCAGCAGTAAATTACTGCCCAGTTACATCGGTCCATTTCGTGTGTTGCGCCGAATGGGCAACGCATACACGATTGAACTGCCCCGTAAGATGCGTTCGCATCCTACGTTTAATGTCGGTCTTCTCCGCCCGTACTATCAGTACGAGCCCGTTGCGAGATGCGAAGAACACCCCCGGGGTCGAGAGCCGAGACCACCTAGTTGTAATTATCCTTTTAAAGGTCATGGAGCTCATGACGCCGAGTCTATTCATGAACCAAGTCATCGTGTAACTGTTCCGTTACACGTTTCAGCTCCTGAACACCAAGCTGATCCGACTATCGAGCCGGATCAGGTATTCCCGCCACCACCACATCCTCTGTTGGATTCTCGCGGTGTTTAACGCTTTCTGGTGGAGCGTATTTGAACCACCGCGACCTGAAGGGCGTCCGAACGATCTACCTCGTCCGCTGGCGTGGCTATTCCCCGGGCTTGAACATCAGGGAGCCTCGTGCCCAGCTAATCGTTAATGGCCTGAGTCTCGTCGAGCAATATGACTAGACCCACGCGCTGCGTTCGAAAAAGGGCCGTCGGAAAATGACCTCCCGAACGAGACTACAGGTATTGCAAGTGTCAGTGTCAATCGCGTTGGCCATCTCAGAAGAGATGATCGCCCTCCAGTAGGGAATATTGGGGAGTTAGGCCTCCCTATGTGCACAATTCGCATTGTACAGGCAACTTGGGCACGTTTCACCCCACGATAGACAGGGTAACCCTGCCTCTCTTGACATTCGGTGCAACTTGCATTGTCCACCGACTGGATTACGCTTTTCAAACCTGATGCGAGCTGCATCAAGTTTACCGATCCAGGCCTCACGGCCAATGCACTCGATGTTATGGATGAAGGCATTCCACTTTTGCACCAAGGCCTTACCGTCTCGACCACGATTGCCGTTGTACCACTGATGTTTGAAAAACACATCGATGAAGAACTCTTCCTCAGCAAGGATAGTTTCCGTGCTTGAATTAGGAGGAAGGATCCTTCTACAGTCAAACAACGGGATTCGATACCGTTCAGTGGTCATACCGACCAATCGATCTAAATCCTTGGATGATGGCATCCAAGGAGACCCCACTTGATGATCATGGCGCAGGAAATTTTGGTCCCTGGCCTCTCGTGTGGTGTCAGCATGAGCACTGACACCAGTGGCAGCTCGATCCCCCGAGTTGCTTCTATCGTTGTGACGTATAGTTGCGTCACCACCATTACCACGCGTCCTGTTGTCAGATAGACTTGCGTGAGACGAGGATTCGTCAGACGAATTGCTCAATCCGAATATCTCAGACTTGATACCGCCACGTTCCCCAAAGTCAGTCAACCTGGTTCTTGCAGTGTCCGCCCCGGATGATCCAGAGGCGTGAGGTGTCGCCTTCAAGTCGGATGCATCATCAGACTCGCCAGAATAGATGAGTTCTACTTCAGGCTCATCCGCATTGTGAGTCGTAGCACCCGCTGCATACACAGAGGATGTATCTGTTGCACGTGGTGACTCACCACGTGGACTCTTCACAACAGGCACTGCCTGTTGCTGAACCACAACAGCAGGCAAAAGACCACCTGTTGCTGAGGCTTGAGAAGAACTCTCTTCGGCGGCACGCAAGCGTGCAACCGCCTTTCTAGCTGTTTCAGCAGCGCATCGCATGGACATTGCCACCATGCGATGAATTGGCAAATGAGTTGGAATTTGACCAACGAGTGCTCCCCTTCTCAGAGTGATCTAATGGTGATCAACCTGTCCCCGATCAATTTAATCTAATTAACGGGTGATTGATGGTTAAGGGGGGGGGTGTAACGGGGTAGCTCGTTACATGATATTGACACCAAACGGTGTCAACAGGGAAATTGTCCGGCGTGACAATCCTCTGTCAATAATATCCGAGCTGGATAATATTGAATGAATATCATCCCCTTTGTGGGATAATATTTATGTGCTGCTCAAAGATTGGTTGATAAAGATGTATCAACCAAGGTTATCACCAATCGCTGCTAGACGCGCGTAATGAGTGGTGAGCAGGTTGTCGTCATACGACAATGTAGGTTGGTGTAGTTAGATAAAGACTGAAGTTGTATTGTTAGCTCAACTATGTTAAATACAGTTCTCTTTTTATCTTTTACTGAAACTGGTAGTTTGAGTAGATTAGCTTCCTCTGCTCGTACGAGTGTACGTGACTTTTCGTGGCACCCAAACTAAGGGTGCCCCATTGCACTCAGTCACTTCATTTTTCCAGATAAAAAACTCTGACAAATGAAGCGTGTTGTCTTTATTGATCACACGCTGGCCACAATAGAATGACCGCAAATCATTTCAAGCCCGAAGGATTAAGCTATTAGTGATTGAGCGCAAGGTTGAATGCCAAACTTTTATATCGTGCTTATCTGCTTGTCTGCGTGCCTGGCTCTTTCTTAAATATCGATTAGCATGGTAGGTGTCACTTTATGGCTAGGTCTATATTGTGATGTAGGCACTTGATTGGCTCAAAATCGATCAAAGTCGAATATGATCATAATAGCACATGCTGGACGCTTAAAATCAAAGGTCAGTCGAGTTGCCTAAGTGTACTGTACGGTGTCAACACATTTGTCTACATCATTACACTCCTTCTTCAGTCACTGCTGTCATATAGTGTTTTGCAACTCGATTCAGTTCTCCGAACTGGACACTTATTTTATAGAACGAGCTCCAGATTTTGCTTCCCTAACTTACTACAGTTAACGTATGCGAGAAGACCGCTCACATTCCACATTCCCCCTGTGCAAGTTTGCTCTGAACACATGCTCTAGTCTAGGCTGCTAATCCCGGTCGTAGTCTCATCGACACGATAAACAGTACGTACCCGGACATTGCAGCTTTGGCATTGATACCTTGGTACTGGAATGAAGCGGCAAATAATTCGACTGCGTGGTGTATGTGTAAAGCAAAAAATCAGATATCTCCAACAATAAACCTAAACTGCCGTAGTTGTAACGGGGACCCTTAGTTTGGGTGCCACGAAAAGTCACGTACACTCGTACGAGCAGAGGAAGCTAATCTACTCAAACTGCCAGTTTCAGTAAAAGATAAAAAGAGAACTGTATTTAACATAGTTGAGCTAACAATACAACTTCAGTCTTTATCTAACTACACCAACCTACATTGTCGTATGACGACAACCTGCTCACCACTCATTACGCGCGTCTAGCAGCGATTGGTGATAACCTTGGTTGATACATCTTTATCAACCAATCTTTGAGCAGCACATAAATATTATCCCACAAAGGGGATGATATTCATTCAATATTATCCAGCTCGGATATTATTGACAGAGGATTGTCACGCCGGACAATTTCCCTGTTGACACCGTTTGGTGTCAATATCATGTAACGAGCTACCCCGTTACACCCCCCCCCTAACCATCAATCACCCGTTAATTAGATTAAATTGATCGGGGACAGGTTGATCACCATTAGATCACTCTGAGAAGGGGAGCACTCGTTGGTCAAATTCCAACTCATTTGCCAATTCATCGCATGGTGGCAATGTCCATGCGATGCGCTGCTGAAACAGCTAGAAAGGCGGTTGCACGCTTGCGTGCCGCCGAAGAGAGTTCTTCTCAAGCCTCAGCAACAGGTGGTCTTTTGCCTGCTGTTGCGGTTCAGCAACAGGCAGTGCCTGTTGTGAAGAGTCCACGTGGTGAGTCACCACGTGCAACAGATACATCCTCTGTGTATGCAGCGGGTGCTACGACTCACAATGCGGATGAGCCTGAAGTAGAACTCATCTATTCTGGCGAGTCTGATGATGCATCCGACTTGAAGGCGACACCTCACGCCTCTGGATCATCCGGGGCGGACACTGCAAGAACCAGGTTGACTGACTTTGGGGAACGTGGCGGTATCAAGTCTGAGATATTCGGATTGAGCAATTCGTCTGACGAATCCTCGTCTCACGCAAGTCTATCTGACAACAGGACGCGTGGTAATGGTGGTGACGCAACTATACGTCACAACGATAGAAGCAACTCGGGGGATCGAGCTGCCACTGGTGTCAGTGCTCATGCTGACACCACACGAGAGGCCAGGGACCAAAATTTCCTGCGCCATGATCATCAAGTGGGGTCTCCTTGGATGCCATCATCCAAGGATTTAGATCGATTGGTCGGTATGACCACTGAACGGTATCGAATCCCGTTGTTTGACTGTAGAAGGATCCTTCCTCCTAATTCAAGCACGGAAACTATCCTTGCTGAGGAAGAGTTCTTCATCGATGTGTTTTTCAAACATCAGTGGTACAACGGCAATCGTGGTCGAGACGGTAAGGCCTTGGTGCAAAAGTGGAATGCCTTCATCCATAACATCGAGTGCATTGGCCGTGAGGCCTGGATCGGTAAACTTGATGCAGCTCGCATCAGGTTTGAAAAGCGTAATCCAGTCGGTGGACAATGCAAGTTGCACCGAATGTCAAGAGAGGCAGGGTTACCCTGTCTATCGTGGGGTGAAACGTGCCCAAGTTGCCTGTACAATGCGAATTGTGCACATAGGGAGGCCTAACTCCCCAATATTCCCTACTGGAGGGCGATCATCTCTTCTGAGATGGCCAACGCGATTGACACTGACACTTGCAATACCTGTAGTCTCGTTCGGGAGGTCATTTTCCGACGGCCCTTTTTCGAACGCAGCGCGTGGGTCTAGTCATATTGCTCGACGAGACTCAGGCCATTAACGATTAGCTGGGCACGAGGCTCCCTGATGTTCAAGGCCGGGGAATAGCCACGCCAGCGGACGAGGTAGATCGTTCGGACGCCCTTCAGATCGCGGTGGTTCAAATACGCTCCACCAGAAAGCGTTGACCACCGCGAGAATCCAACAGAGGATGTGGTGGTGGCGGGAATACCTGATCCGGCTCGATAGTCGGATCAGCTTGGTGTTCAGGAGCTGAAACGTGTAACGGAACAGTTACACGATGACTTGGTTCATGAATAGACTCGGCGTCATGAGCTCCATGACCTTTAAAAGGATAATTACAATTACTTAGCGCACGATCGGTCGAACGATCGTGCCGCATTTGCGTTCGCGCAACTTGAGAACGAACGACCGGCTCGTTCTCTTAGTGACGAGCCGACTGCAGCTCGTCAGGACATTGCTCAACTGCGTGAGGAGGTCGCTTCGCTAGTCGACCAGACTGGTTCGTTGAAACGATACCACTCGAAGGTGGTCTAGGCCCTTGACCGCGGAGGTATTCTTCGCCTCTCGAAACGGGCTCGTACTGATAGTACGGACGGAGACGTCCGACATGAAACGTAGGATGCGTGTGCATCCTGCAAGGCAATTTAACCGTGTATGCGATGCCAGTATGGCGCAACACATGAAATGTAACGATGTGCTTGGGCAGTAGTTTGCTGCTGCCCATGTTTGTCACTGCGTGTTTTGGAACACTTACTGTGGACAGTTAAACTATGTCTCATTCATTCAATGAATAAAACATTTGAACTTTCATGTCTGTCTGCGTTTCTTTCTGCTTCACTATTGCATCTGCAATTGAATCTCAAATGAAGAGAACAACCGCTTCGCAAGTCAGCAGAAATTCTTCTGCTGATTCGTCCTTGTCAACAGCAGTGCTCTTTGTGCGCACTGCTGAAAGAACGTTGTCTTCACCAGTGAGGGCGTCATCGTCCTCACTGTGGCAGTCATTGGCAATGCTAAATATTCCAGCATCGTCGTCATCATCATCATCGATATCGATCGCATCGACAGTGGCATTCATCACGTCGACACCATTTTCGACAGGTGCTGAGCAAGAGCCAGATTCGGTTTATGTTCGAGCGAGTCCAACCGCCCTTCAACTAGAGTCATACTCTAAGAAGGCGGGTAAACGTGGATGGCGTAGGCCATTCACGAAGAACGGTGTATGCGCTGTCGACGCATGCACCGAGTTGTTGATGGCAAATTCCGCCATCGGCAAGAACTCACTCCAGCTCGTAAACGAGTGGACATACCCTCGAAGTATCCCTTCGAGAACGTGGTTGACGCGTTCCGTCTGACCATCTGTTTCTGGATGGGTAGAAGTCGACATCGTCAAACGTGTTTCAAGTGAACGATGCACGGATTGCCAAAACCTCGCTGTGACGCGGGGGTCCCTATCAGACACGAGTTCACGGGGTAACCCGTGAAGTCGGAAGATAGTATCGATGAAGACACGCGCATAGCCCTGGGCTGTGATTGACGCCGGTACAGCAACAAGATGTACCATCTTGCTGAACCGATCAACAAACACTAGAATACCAGTATTCTTGTGAGTGTCTCTGGGAAATCCAATGACGAAGTCCATCGATACGGACTGCCAAAACTCTTCCGGAATCGGTAGAGTCTGCAAGGGCGCACGGGATGAAGGACTAGTCTTCACCCGTTGGCAATCTTTGCAAGCGCGAAGGTATTTGCGCACAAACTCATACTGGCGAGGCCAGTAGAAGTCACGACTACCTTGAGGTAGGTCTTTTCCCTACCGCGATGCTCACTTGGTGGGGCATCGTGACACTCGTACATGATGCGCAATTGCAATCCATTATGAGCCGGAATGACGACACGAGTTGTATCGCTGTTGAATGCTGTCTAGTACATCAGTCCATCACGAACCGAATACCGTTCGGTGAAGAGCGGTATTGAGACGACAAGCTTTTCAAAGCTTGAATGCATGGTTTGGATACGTGATCCATCAATCGCAGAAGAGACTTATCTTCTGCGTATGCTTTTCGCACGTCGTTGAGCAGATTCGACGACGAAACACTCACTTTTAGTGTCGCTACAGTGGGTTCACCCCTACTGTTGTGTTTGAGCAGTCGGCTTTCAATCGGGCCGACGCGAAAGAGCATCAGCGACGACATTAAGTCGTCTTGGTTTATACTCAACGGAGAAGTTGTACTCCTCGAAGAAAGAAAGCCACCTCGCCATTCGCTGCGAGAGGTGTGGCCTGTTTACGGCCGTGCGTAACGACGCTTGGTCGGCATGAACGATGAAGGGCCTATCTCCTAAGAGGTATACCCTAAACTTAGCCAAAGCACAAATCATGCCAAGGAGTTCCCTTTATGCACCGGGTAATTACGCGCAGCTGCTTGCAGCTGAAGCGATTGATAACAGACGATGCGCTCAACGCTGTCGGAGTCGTACTGCATTAACGCGCAGCCGATTGCAAAATCACTGGCGTCATAGAAAACGTAGAATGATCTGTCCCGGTCTGCAATCGCCAACAAAGACGATTGTATAAAGCTTTTATTGATGCCTTCAAAGGAGTGCTGACACCCAGCACTCCGTGACCACCTCTCGTTTTTCTTTAGCAGACGAGCGAGATGTACGGTCATCTCGGCGTACTTGCACGAGTACTTGCTCAAGTACGCCGCTAAGCCAAGTAACCTTCGAAGTCCCTTGACGTCTACTGGCACAGGCCGTCGCTAATCGCCTTGATCTTTTTTGGATCAGGACATACACCGTTTTTACCCACAATGCAGCCAAGAAGTGGTATTTCGATCCCTGCGAATACACATTTCTTGAGGTTCGCGAACAACTTATGCTCACGCGTTAGTGTAAAAAACTTCCGAACGTGGATTCTATGAACGTCCACGTCCGTATTTTTATCCATAGCCCGGCTATGGACGAAGACATCGTCGAAGTAATTCGGTGCATAATCGCGCACCGATCGCAACAGAATTGAAACACATCTGTTGAACGTTGCAGGGGCGTTACTTAGTCAGGTGGCATCACTAGCCACTACCAGAGCATACCACTGGGAGTGCTCACTGCTGTGTAAGGGATATCCAGTTTACGCATGAGGATCTGATAGAATCCATCCATCAGATCCATGGACGAAAAGATGGTACTCTTTGACATACCATCAATGATGACGTCCTTCCTTGGGATCGGCGTTTGAGCCGGTACCGTTGCAGCGTTTAATTTGTTGAACGCGTGCACAATCCGCCACCCTCCTGTGGTCTTTCGCACACAGAAGGTCAGAGAGCTGTGTGGGGATGTTAATTCCCTCACATGAACAGCTTCTAAACGATCTGCAAAGAATTTGTCGATCGCTGTGACCTGTTCACGAGGCAGTGGCCACTGCTTCATGACACAGTACTTCGAACCAGGATTCAGTTTGATCTCACGCCGAGTGCAGTGTCTTTGGGCAGCTCTTATGGCACGGATACCGGGAAAACATCCTCGAATTCAACCAAATCCTTATGCAAAGGATTTGTCGTCAAAGACTCCCTAGATTGAGACGTGTATCGCTCAATCCGGGTCTTCTCATCGAGGACTCTCTCGTCCGTAGATGAACTACTGAGAACCCGTTCGCTCTCAGCAAACACTTGTGCCGACCGAATATCGGCGAAGTGCTCCTCCTCTGTGACGAGTACGCAAATCTGCTTGATCTTGTCACTACGTAGATCTCGCAAGAATCTTTTAGATTCTAGCGTTGGCAACTTGACTACCTCCGAGGCTGACTTCGGAGTTGTAACCAGATCAAGTGTATAAGCGCCTACACTTAATCCGTCATTCACCAAGACATTCGATGTTTCGGTGATATCCTGGTAAACACACCCGCACGTGGTTGTAGAATCACACCCTCAACATAACTCTCTCGGGAGTTATCACTCTCAGAAACGCAGCAACTTTTTTCCAATACGTGTTCTGACTGTGGGTGTACTACCACAGTCACATCCTCTAAGATCGACTATATAACAGTCGATCTCGCTTCAGCGTGATGTTCAGGATGAACATCACTAATTTCTCTTCTTAGATGCACCCTTCTTGGTGTGCATCCGTGTTACAGTCCACTCGATCTCTTCGAGTGGTAAACCTTCGGCGCAGCCTGTGTCTCTACACAGGTGCCGGAAGCTGGTTCCACAGTGTAGTGGCCTTCTACACTGTGATCTTGTGCAGTCATACTAACGAACGTACCACAAGTGAGACCATCGCACTCACTCGTAGTACATCCACACGCTTGTGGACGCTCCAAGACGTTCATCAGATGGCCATCCGATGAACAGACGGCAGGCATTTTCACGGATCGATGCTGCCAGCTAACTCATGGCTGGTACTCTCTAAGCCATGGCAGACCCAGGATAACATCAAATTTGTTGTCCAAATTCAGTACGATGAAGCATGATCTTACTGCTTTCCTTCCAGCGTGTAGTAGATGCCCACTACACATTTGTTCACTGTGACGGATACGCATGTAGCAAGGCCCACCGTCATCCTTGTAAGAGGAATATCCCGCTCATCATAGTTGAGCCTACAATATTCTGGAGACGGGCGTCAAATAAAAATGTTCGACGCACCACGGTCAACTAGGGCGCGCAGTTACATTCCACTTGTCACTTCGATCTTCAAAGTGATGAGAGACTCCCCATCACCAGGGGAAGTAACATAGCGACTGTCTGTTGGAAGCAATCTTCGTCAAGTGTCCTGCAAAGTATCTTGGCGTTGCTGATACAGCAAGGTGCTCCACCCCTACTGACCCTGACCGTTGTTTGGCGGTCTGACTTGCTGTCGCGGCTTGGCGACATGGTCGGACCCACGCCTTGGACCCTTCCTTGGCCAACGGCGGTCATCACGTCCTGTTTTCGGACGTGTTGCAGTGCTCGGGACACTACACTCATGAGTGTAGTGTCCGATCTCCTGACAGCGATGGCATATAGCCGTTCTCTTGTGATTCAGAGACCGAGATTTCTCGCTCTAGATGCAATAGAGGTTCATTGGTTCTAGACCTCTTGTTTCCTGTCGTCTCGTCGGACGATAGTTTGACGAATTAGCCTGATTCTGTCACAGGCCGAAGTATTCTTGTTCCGCTTACGCTATCGCCTTTTCCAGCGCATGGAAGTCCTCTCGGAACATGTAGGTCTTCACCTGCCCATCCACAAGGCCGTAGATGAACACGTTGATGAGCGTATGATCATCAACAGGGTTTTACGTAACGCTACTTGCAAGGTAGCGCAGGTGCTGTGCGTAAGCGTGTACGTCACGCTTACCTTGCTTTAGCCTCAAGAGTGCAGAGAGTGCTCTGCACTCGGCTCTAGGCGGCTTAAACGTCTCTTTAAGCCGAGACTTTAAGATCTCCAACGACTCGAACACGTTTGGGTCGTGAAGCTTGAGCCCTAAGGCCCAAGTCTTTGCTCGTCCCATCAAATTTGACAGGGCGAAGGTGACTTGCATCTCGTCACCCTCGATGTGACGGGCCCTGACGGCACCGTGTAACTCGACGAACCATCTCGAAAAGGAATATTCATCGGTTCCTTTGTACCTTGAGATATCAATCTTCAAGATTTCGGGTCGACGCATGTGCGTCGGCCCGCCCATCGACTGCTGAGAGCCTTGCTGTTGTAGAAAGACTTTCTTTTGTCTTTCGACGGCAAGTTCCTCTTGTAGGAACTAGTTGATAGCAGCGTGTTGCTGGTCTCTGCGTAGAGACTCCAACATACTACTGATGGCGGGTTCGCCCATGAGCCCACTCATGCGGCCGACTACCTCCCATTCTGAGTCACTTTAATAGAAGTAGCCTTTAACTACTACGTCTAACATGTTCGTGTTAGATGGACACTAAGCAGTCGTTGGACGGACCACAAAGTACTACCAGGTGTAACTGGGCACCCTTAGTTTGGGTGCCACGAAAAGTCACGTACACTCGTACGAGCAGAGGAAGCTAATCTACTCAAACTGCCAGTTTCAGTAAAAGATAAAAAGAGAACTGTATTTAACATAGTTGAGCTAACAATACAACTTCAGTCTTTATCTAACTACACCAACCTACATTGTCGTATGACGACAACCTGCTCACCACTCATTACGCGCGTCTAGCAGCGATTGGTGATAACCTTGGTTGATACATCTTTATCAACCAATCTTTGAGCAGCACATAAATATTATCCCACAAAGGGGATGATATTCATTCAATATTATCCAGCTCGGATATTATTGACAGAGGATTGTCACGCCGGACAATTTCCCTGTTGACACCGTTTGGTGTCAATATCATGTATCGGGTAACCCCGTTACAATAATGGTCGTTTCCGATTCTGAGCAATTAAGCCTCCTTCACTCAACGCCCCTGCTCGGCGTCGCTCCCGTCGTCATGGCGTCGGACCTCGTCCCGCCCGTCGCCACGCTGCTGCCAAGCGCTAATCCCTCGGACGTGATCGATGGACACAGCATGTAGCAAGACGAATCACTTTTCCTGGCAAATGTATGCTCCCAGCTGAGGCCGCTACTGGCACTCGAGGCCGAGACCAACGTCGAAGGGCCCTTTCACTGCTATTAGACGTGGCGGTGGTCGCTTTCAAGCCCGAGCACGAATTTTTGACCGCATTTCACAGGATTTACGAGCCAAAAAAAAAGAAGGTCAGTAAGTGTCCACGTCTTCGGCTGGTGGCTGCACCGTATAATATGGTCAACTAGCTGACTGAAGCGCAGCTTTGGAAGCTTCTGGAGAGTCTATCGCTTGTCAAGAGCTCGGACAGTGGAAGCTTCAGGGTCTATACGTAGTTTAAGTGGAGACATTGGTGACTACTGAAAGCGAGAGCTCAGCTGATGGTCGAGTGTTGCTGCTCGCAGTGGCAAATTTACTGGACCCGAGTCCGGACAAGAAGGTCAAGGCGCTCAGGGTACGTGGCAATGTACAAATAAAAAGAGCGATACGGACAAGGAGCGGGCGCTGCGCACGTGCAAGATGGTGTTGCGGAGCTTGGTAGTGAGCTTTGTTGCGCGCGTGGACTTGGCTGCTTTGTCAGTCGTCAAGACCTCGTAATTCAGTGATCTAGTGTATGATCTGCTGGAGATTGTGTCGACCAAGACTTCAGACAGTTGCGCCGTCTTAGAACTGTGCGAAGAGTGTGCTTCGGACAACGGACTAGACGCAGCCAACGTGGCTGTACCGTGCGTTTGTTCACGCTATGCAGCTCGGTCTACGAGTTTTTAGGCGAATTCGTATGCTGGCGTGGCGATGACCCTTGATGTGGGCGAAGAGGCTGCGGATCAAATGGGTGGTGCTTGCCATTACGGCTGGGCTCGCGAATGCGAAGATTGACCGAGTTGTTTGTATCGTGACGACTTCGCTCGCTACAAAGTCGTTATGGAGATGATCAGTGGAAAAAGATGCACGCAAAGCTGCAAATATGCAAGGCAAACGACGGTGACTTGCTGGATGTTACCACGAACACCCGCCCGTACTCAGGAGCTACAGCGAGGGCCACGGAAGATGTCCAGGTGAATGCAGAACTGGTAAATCAGTGTCATCGACGCCATTCACGAGCTTGTACTCGAAGTTTTCAATTGATTGTTGTGGCGTCATGAAGCATGAAATAGAGTTCATTTGAGCTGTCTCACCTGTGTTGGTCTTTATCTGTTCAATCAGGCGAGCCGCTAAAGGTAAGAAGCCTTGCTCAGCAAACAGCAATAGCCCGTCGCAGGCTTGGACTTTACTCGATTTTATCGAGAAGAGGCAACATTCGTATGCGATCGTGGGGCCGCCCGCTGGGTAAAGATGAGGGTCAACCTGTTCCACAAGCCTCTAAGAAAAGTGGCTGAAGGAAATGTCAGGTTCAAAGAGGGAAGATAAGGCTGTGGCAAAGGCAGATGATGTCTCGAAACGAGTGCCAGTTTCACCAACACTGAGTCCTTGACCCATAGTCGTGTGAGAAAAGACTTCTGCATATTTAATTAACGGATTGCATCACTAAAGGATCGCGTCTCGATCTACGACTGTCAAGGCAAGTGGTATCTTCGCACAATCAGCGCATACGTAATGATTGGAGCAAGGAAGAACAGAGTCGATGATGTTGACGCTACCATTAACCAGAATGGTGGCCAGTAAGTGCATCAACCCATATCGCATGTCAAAAACAAGCGTACGCGTTTTAAATCGCTTAGCTACTTGCAAATATGAATTTGACGAAACCGATGTGGACGCAGTGCATCAAACTGGAAAATAGAAACATTAACGCAGGTTTGCTCCTAAGACACACGGTACACCCTCACGTTGTAATGTCCCAAACCAATTTGTCACAACAGCTCGTAAAAAAGAAAGCAGTTGTACCATTGTTCCGGTAAAGCTACCGTCCACACAGAGGTACAACCAAACGAGCATTGCACACGCGTCACTTAACCTGCCACTTCCCTTCAAGGTACGAGTCGCATGTCGTTCGGATTTGCGCGGTATCATCGGCGGCGAACTTTTCTTGGGACAACACGCGCTCCAAATAGCCCGGACTGTTCTTCTCCGTTTCAAACAGGTCACGTAGCACCGTTTTTGCTTGCAGTTGATCGGCTTTGACATCATTCGCTGCCTTCATAGCCATGATGGCAAGTTTCCCTTCTTCTCCAGCAAACTCCTCTCTCAAGAGTTGACTCAATGTCTTCGTGTTCTTTACCTCTGATTCCTCTTCATAGATATCCTTGAGCTTCCGCAACCATGTCATCCGACGGTGATCGAAAATGCCGCCTCCCAACTCTTTGATCTTGAACAGTGCTAGCACGTCTTCCATTCGTTCCTTATCCGCTATGCACTTACGTAGCAAATCCAGAAGCAATGTTCTCGCTGGTACAAATTTATTATAAGCAGGTGCGAACTTGAACACAACCGGTGCAAGCTCAGCTTCACCACCAGAGCTGTCCAAGCTGCCTATCACTGCGTCCAGCAACGTCATCTTGGTCAATTCCTTTGGACGAAAGGAGACGTACCGATCCAGCAACGCCAGTTCCCGGCTGAAAACAAAATTCTCGTCTTTCAGAATCTTCATTAATGGGTTCCCGGCACGCTGCCTCTTCGTAAGTAATGCTTCCAGCAATGCGTCTGCTGTCTTAAGACGCACATCGCTGAATACACAACTGAGCAAAACTTGTTCAAACTTGTCCTCGCCACCAAAATGGTCTATCACCAAGTCCAGCAACGTTGTCTTGGTCTTTTCCTCCGAGCGAAGGCTATTGACATAATCTTCCAGCAGAAGTAGCTCCGTGCTTACGAAAAAACTCTCGTCTTTAGAGGTCTCTAGTGACGGTACCCCGGCAACTCGCCACTTGGCATACAGTGCTTTCAACAGTGCTTTCAACAAGGCGTTCAAATTATTGCTGTTTAGAAAAGAACGGGTGAGCTTGAACAAAGCCAGTGCCAGCTTAGCATCGATGCCAAAGCTGTCCACCACACCTTCATACGACTTCTTAGCATCCAGCGACTTGGAAATATATGCTTCCAGCAATCTCCTCGCTTTAAGGTCAAAATTGTAAGTTGCGTACGTAATTAACACCGACACCAACTCAGCCTCACTACCATAGTGTTCCAGCAACACGTCCAGCAGCCGTGATGTCTTGGTCTCTCGGCCTCCTGGTAGGAGCTTGATGTACCGTTCCAGCAGACTGAGTTCCCAGCTTTCAAAAAGGGCATCACCTTTGGGAAGCTTGAGGAAGTTGGCAAGATCGGAAGGAGCGCGACCCATTAACGCCCAGGACCGGAGATGCAATGTCGACACGAGCCAGGCAAAGACACTCTCGAATAGACCCGCAGAGTCGGTCGTCTTCGAGTACAGTTTACGCACAAAGTTTCCAAACCACGAGGAAATCGGTTCAGCGAATCTCTCCTCCGTTGTCGTCTTGTTGATTGCTTTGGAGTTCAGCTGAGCGACGAGGCTGCTATCGGCGTCAGCATCGAAAGAAAAGAGGAGCTCATCCGGGTACTCGGCCACTACGGGCGCTGTCTTATTCACGAAGGTTGAGGAACTCTCGACACGTGCCAAGATGGCAGCACACGCGACGCCAAGAAGGAAGCGTTTGGCACCCATGATTTTAGAAGGCTCGACCCCGAGTGAACAAGTTGATATGCGACAAAGAAGTCAGGAGAGCTGAGGGGAGTGGCTGAAGAGCCCAGAGGAAAAACTATTCAGCCGGCATCGATGGTTGTAGGGAAGGTTTTGGCCATCAATGATCCTGCTTTGAGTTTTCAGCCAATAGAAATGCAAATTTTGCTACCAGTTTCACGTTTGTGCAAAAGTGCCAACCCCCTGTACAATATCAACACAAGTCTAAATTGGATACATAATTAGTGTCAATTACATTATACCCAACTGCAACTTGGAATAGGAAACTGCATGCTTGCCAACGAGTCTTGTCATTTGATAGACAACTATCAGACCTGCATGAAGCGTGCACAACTCGAGTGGTTGTGCACGCTCCGGGCAGGTCTAAACCCATTCCTCTGATAGGCTGACCTATCATCTCGTGTAACCTCGAGTACACAATTGTAGATAAAAGCAAATGCTTAACGACCGGGTTTATTTTTGTTTGGCTAATTCATTTTTTAGGTACAGGGTAAAATAGTCGCCGTTCAAACGCATTATTGTAGAATATCGTCAAATTACCATTATTTCGAAAGTTGACAATTGGAGACCATCTTGCCAAATGGGAATTCTTGTGATAGCTCTTGCGTTTCAGCTACGATTAACGATTTTCTAACAGTACATTTCTGTAATGTTGGACAGTCGCTTGACACTAGCTACAAACATGTTTGAAGAGGCATGCCAAGGCAGAAAAAATAATGTCTAACGACTTTGCGCCTGCAGGTTTTAAGCTCTGGTCAGGTTTGTCTATTAGCTGGGACGGACATAAGCAATAGGAGGGAAGACATATAACCTTGGCACAACAAATTGGCAAAACTTTTCTATTACACCACTGTGAGCTTTATTCTCCTTGGCTAGCGTTACGGCTATCGAACAAAACTACCTCCTGTTTGGTGAAGTGTCGGTGTTCTAGTCTTTGCGTTCGCTCTTGACACCAGCTGGGGCCCTTTGAAACGGAGTTACACAAATGGGTGTGATCACCAGGCACACAAGTGTCGTACACACAGAAAGAGATCAGTATCACTGATATGACCTGATTTTGTATCGCGTACGATAAGCGATAATACCATACCCTGTCGGTTATGGGTAGAGGTAATCAATCGTAATGGGGTATTCTAAGCACGTCATTGTATTGGTCGGTAAAACTAGAATGATCTACATTAAGACTCCTAAAAATAGGTTGCAGATTCAGGGATGAATACGCAAGTGATTTTGATCATTGCTATGAGCCCGTAAATACATTCAGTTCCCCTTTTGATCAGTTTCAGGCAAGTCTCTTGCTAAGGCGTATTTGGTTGTAAAAATTCATAACCTGTTTTAAAACTAGTACTCATGGACATCAGCGCCGCGTAGTTTCTTGGAGTCACCTGAACCAGGCTAGAATGTTGCGAGCTTGTTAAGATACTTATGGTTAAGTCTCACTAAGACTGTACGGACTTGATACCCTTTGAATTAATCCCCTTTAGTTTATTACACTAAAAAAGTCTACGAGTCTAGAATGCTCCTTTAAAGATGGAGGAAGTGTAGCTCCGCTGCACTTGAAAACACTCGTTAGTCAATCTACACCTGAGTCTGTTACAGACGGTTCCTCTGTAAGGATGGAAATAACAATTTACCTTTTCTAGACCCAACGATTAGCGCTGGAGAAAATCAGAGCGCCACTCGGAACAAACGAGTGATTCATTCCCTCGCACAAGGTACTGACATGATTCGTTCCTCGCGCAAAGTACTGATCTGATTCGTGCACGTCTTGACGCTTTCGTACAATTTGTGTCCGGTCAATTGGCCAATTGCACGACCATGTGGCATCGTCCATGCCTTCTTGGCATGCTACGTACTTGATGAAGCTCCATCAGATTGCCCACTTGTCTTAACTGCAAGACTTTTGAGAATAAAAAAGGGGAGAATCTCCTCCTGTGGATAAGAGAGATGAAAAGGCCATGAAATTCACTATGCTCCAGTCGGAGCAACAGCAAGTTGAGTTGGCTGTTTTAGATAAGGTGGTCGTCCCGTAGATGGTCTCTCAAATGCAGCACGTTGAAGAAGTGGCTTTCCCCACATTAGATTCGCTTGGCAAATTTTCCGGATGTTTCCTCCGCATAATTAGGCACATCGAGTGCGTTCTCGTTTCCTATCTTCCCGTCAGGGCAAGTGAGAATTATCGGACAATTTTAAGGAATTGATAGCTCTAATCGCTTCCATGTATCTTTTTCCCTAACCGATATATTTTTTGGTTATCATCTTCACGGAGGGCCTTTGTAGTGGCGTGGCTCGAACGGAAGCAATTTGGGTACACCCACCTCCTTTGAGGCGGCTGTGTCTATCGTATTGAGCACTGAGTTTATCTGCAAGTCATACCGTGTTAAAACTCATAGGAAATACAACCCAGACTAGACAAATTCATTTAGTCCGTTAGATAGGCCGGAGTCTATGGACTTCAGTCTCACCGAGACAGACAAAGAAACAGAGCTTCCATCTGTGGAACAACACTGTAACATTCGACTATTTAACGTGCAGAAGCAAAAAATCAGTTGGGACCTAATTTTTCTCTACGCACGGCAAACCATTCGACATCAAGCCAAACTCCCGATGCTAACCAGGAGAATGGTACAGTGCAATAAAACTAATGCTCTTATTATGCGCGGGTGCCCTGCTGGTAAACAGTCGGTTCTATTGAGCTTTTAGGCGGTAGTGGCGAGCATGACCTAGCCCCAAGGTGCTCCGCGCACTCTAACACGGGCAAGAACACGAGCCAGGATTGCTGGTCACGAAATCAACTGTTAAGGGTTGTCAGAAAACCTAATATATTTTGATCGACTTAAGTGTATCCGGTAGTCATGTCAGACGCTGTTCCTATTAAGAGAATCCGCCAAATTTACCGCGCTAGAATCACATAACGATGATACGATCACTGTTCTCTTACGGACAGGGACTCTCGTCACCACACTATAAGTTCCTGTAAGCTTGGGTTTGAAGCTCTTCAATTATAATAGTATCGAACACTGTTTATTCCTCGATTAGGACTTGAGGTATGATCTCATTCTTAATACGACCTAGCTTAATTTCTATTATCTATGAGACGACGGGAGTTCAAAATCATTAGACGATCCGCGGACTGTCCCCATGGGAGCTTTACAGTGTCAACAAACCCACCTTTGCTAGGGAATAGAAGCGCTATTGGCGCGAGCCACTGGACAAAACCGATTCTGAATATATTGATTCTGGTGATTGCAAAGAAATGAGTATAGAGCAAAGCTAGATGTGTGATAGTAAAACGGCACGTTATGCGTTGAATGAAAGCCATTAAATAACACTGTATTGACCGCTGAAGGCATTGTTGACCAAGCGTAAATTCATCCAGGGTTGGGACTATCAGATAAGCGTGAAGTGACACTTATATAGCCACTTATTGATATTGGCTGTGACAGCGACGCGCTGAATGTCAATGTTTACGTTGTTGGTGAACCACCAATCATCCATAGACCAACTCAGCAATTAGTAAGACGTACCTAGTTGCTAGTTGTTCTCAAAGTAGTTGATCAGAGCTGGTAAAGTGCAAAGTGAATATTTAGGTCCTTAGTTCACGAACTTTTGTTGCTACTTCAAGCCTTCTGGATTCTTCAACTACACGTTTCTATACGCTATATCACGCATTACTAATCTTATAGTCGCGCATGATTAATCTACTCCACACACGTTACTCATCAGATAGTCGCACGTGAGCAATCCACACTACTGGTATTACTCATGTGGGCCCATGAGTAATCTACTCTATACAATTGACTCATCAGCTAGTCACTCAAGAGTAATCCACGCTAGTGGTATTACTCATGGGATAGGCGCACACTCATCTTATTCGACCGTACATTTGGTGCAGCGATTTCTGGCCGAGGCGCATCTTCAACAACAGTTCTCACAAATGGTCCACTCACGCCTAAAATACTCCTCCACCAACTATTTTCCCCCGTCAGCTACCGGCGGAATCTTTGTTTGAGGCTAGTGAATCTAAATAAGCTCTAAGTAAACTTGACACTCTGAGGCTTAACAATTCAAAATTCGCTTCGACGTCAACCGGTGGTGCGGAGATGTATTGCATAAGATCCCTTGTTCTCATGCAGTTCAGCGTAAGCATCTAGTCGAGATTTTTGACAAGCTTGCTAAAGGCGTCCGATTACAGTTGTGAAAGTACGCTTGTCAGACTTGTCTTCTTCGATACCTAAGTCTGATATTGAACGCGGGCATCCCTTTTCACGTGCACGGTGTACTCCACTGCTTCCAGGCTCAATTTAGCCAGGCTTATCGCGTTTTATTTACAAATCTAAATTGCACATTTTTTCTAAGTTAGAAATACTGTTACTTGTTAATCAGATCCGAATGCTTGAAGAAGTCACGGACCGCGTGATTTTTGACTGGGATTGCGGGGCATGGTGTAAAAATCAAGTTTCCTTCCCACGTATCTGATAAGGATTTCTGAATACGCCAATGCGAAGTAATCACGGTGTTATAAAACGGTAATACGACGTGACATTTCAGCTATGAGGTTGGTGCGGTCCAGTAAATTAATCTAAATTATGCGCTTCGAAACTAGATACGCCACAATCGACATTTATTTGTCAACATAGTTGCCACGAGTGTGCAAAATAAAGCTTTCAAATTCAGCGCGATTAGTCTTCAGGATGTCCTGTTTATCGCGTCAGTCTTTGATCTCCCGCTTTGGTCGTGTACAAGGATCTCTTAGATATTCCGTCTAATCCTTTGAGCTCGTACTTTAAATATGGACGTTAGCCGGCAAGAAACAAGCACAGTTCTCCTGTACACGCCAAAAGAGGAGGCTGGGGTCGAAAAAACTCGTTCGGGGTTGCTATTAAACTCAGTGTACTGAGCGCGCTTTGCGGTGGCTAACGCAACCAAAGGACAGTTTTTACGGCCTGGTGACGCTGGTCCTATAGTGCGGTGTGTTGCACATCTAATCTATTCCTTGCGATATATCCACCAACACCGGCTAAGCCCACCATAGGCCGCAGACCACGCCGGTCACATAAAGTATCAAGACGTGCATTAAGCACTTCTAAGCCTTGGGCCACGATGCATCAAGACGTGCATTAAGCACTTCTAAGCCTTGGGCCACGATGTGGTCGACCTGCTCGACCCTATCAACAATCTGAGCTTATCAAGCGCGATACGTTGAGCCTCAAAGGGTAAGTCAAGACCGTCCATATCTCACAAAAGATTAGTCGAAACGACTCAGGTATATGAATGACTTCAAGTGCTACCATGTGTAGCGGAGCTACACAGCTCGTTAAGTAAGAGGAAGACTTATTTAACAAGCCAACGGCTTACTGCTTACAGCCTATTAGTTCTACGGAGCCAATATATCAAGTTAAAAAATGTCACCCAGTTCTACGGAACTCGGGTGGACTCTACGAGCTAACAGCTCAATTACTTTAGTTCTAAGGAGCTACACGCACAATGTCGAAAAGGGAATATCGGAGTCTAAAGACTCTCTAACCAACGACAGTTCCAAAAAATTGTCAAACGCAAGGTGCGAAAGGGGGGGGGTCTTGGGACTACTGCCTAAAATAAGAACTGAACTTCATTTAAATTTTATATTAAAGAAAACCCTACTTGATGTACCCTACGTTGTCCTAAATACAAGTATTAGTATTCGAGCTAAATGGATGGTTGCCACATCACTCAGTCATCAAAGGATGATGGTACAAAGTACGTACACGGCAAGTACCGTAGACCTGGGAATATCGATCAATCGATATTCTCTTGCTGATATAAATCTAAGGTCACACACATTCATCCATATCATTTGTGGGAGGTCTTTGACCAATTCAGCCAAAGGCTAGTGTGACCCCGTTACAATGTCACTATTCATTCCAGCATAATCAACAAAAGCTTATTAAGCCAAAAATTTAAATGCAGCAAACAATGTTTGGTTATTACACGTGAATCCTATGACGTTTAGTAGAAGGGGGTTGTATGTGTTTGTCTTGTAAAGGCAACCTAAGTAAAACTTTGTGGTAACGGCAGGTAAAGCCTTAATTAGATCTGCTGCCAAAAGAGATGTTGAACAAACTCTATGTTATCCACCGCAACTTTGGCCGTGGCATATTTATTTTTGAAGTGATGCATCTATGCCTACGTTTGCGTTTCAATGCACAAAGCCTTTGAGTTTGCTTTTTGGACGATGTTGTGGGCAACACTTTCGATCGTAACGACCCATTTTTTTCTTTCAAAAATTTCAGAATAAAAAAATCAGTCAGAAATGACAAATTGACATAATGCACCTTCATTTGCAACGTTACATTATCACATATGCGCACATACCCGTGGAGCAGCTCCATATTAATGCATCTGGACAAATTTACCTCCACACTGAATCCTTAACGTGACCCGATTCACTGGTATTGTCGACATCATTGTATTCGTTTACATCGAGGATGCGTGAAAATTTAGTAAATAGTGCCTTCCAGGCTCTTTTATCTGGCAGCTTCTTATCAAAGATGATCGCAACTTCATATAATTTCCTTTTTATAGCCCCGCGGTCTCGCATGGGCATCAGCCGTACATGGATAAATCCGATAATATTTTTCTTTTAAGTAATTGATGAACAGAGCTTAATAACGAGTCATCTTGTGCAGACAATGCTGACAGCCAAACCTTGGTGCACGGCGTGCTGATTGACGTTCTGGAAAGTTTGCTCTCGGTTTCCAAGTGCACGAGTGTCGGAAGTCTTCACAATTCAGCGATGGAGCGCTGGTAAAAGGATTGACAGATTCAGTAGATTATTCATCAGTGTTTTCCGCGGCATTGATGGCATCATTAAGATTAGCAGACGAGACGGACACACGAACGACTCAAGATTCATCAGCGTGAGCTGCACCATTAGGTAGGGAGACAATAAGTCAAGAAGCCAGAAGAAAGGCCTGCTTAAGGCTCAGTCATGGATGATTTCTTGTTGAATTCAAGTTGTTCTCTCAGTACTATTAAAATAATTTATTCAAGATAAATCAATAGCATAAGCGGCATAGTTGCATTTAGCAAAATATGGGGGTCAACAGATTTACCCACTTGTACGCCTTCGTACTTCTCCTGAGTATCTCTATTTCAGGCTCATATGCTGTATTTGTTTAAGTGTAGATCCTGTAAAATACTGTATACATTTGAAACACAACAACGAGTGAATAATCTGGAACGTCGCCTCATGTGGAGACGAAAGCGCATTTGCCTTGTGTAACGGGGCACCCTTTGTTTGGGGTGCCGCGAAACTTCACGTACAATAGTACGTGCAGAGGAAGCTAATCTACTTAAACGATTCGTTCAAGTAAAGGTAAACAGAGAACTGTATTTAACATAGCTAAGCTATCAATATAGCTATAATCTTTATCTAACTATGTTAAACTACGTCGTCGTATGACGACAACCTGCTCACCACTCATTGTGCGCGTCTAGCAGCGATTGATGGCAATCTATGGTTGATACGTCTTATATCAACCAATCTTGGATTAGCGCATAAAAATTATCCAAAAGGGGCAATGTTTCTTCAATATTATCAATCTCGGATAATGTTGGTAGAATTTTGTCATGCTAAACAATATTCCAATTGACACCGTTTGGTATTAATTTCATGTAACGGGCTAACCCGTTACATCACCTTCCCCTTAACCATCAATCACCCGTTGATTGAAATAGAATTGATTAGGACAGGGTGACCAGCGTTGGATCACCCTGGGAAAGGAAGCACTTGTTGGTCAAATTCCATTCATTTGCCGACCCAACGCATTATTTCCAAAAATCACGCGAGCTGCTACTGCAGCAGCAAGAAGAGCGTCTGCACGCATGCGTGCGGCCACGGAAAGTGCCTCTCACCACGCCTCAGCAGCAGGCGATTCGTCGCCTGTTGTCGTGAATTTTCCACATCGTGAGTCACCACGTGCGACAGGTACATCCGTTGCGTCTGTAGCGGGTACCTCGAATCGTAATCCAGGAGAGTCCGAGATAGAGTTCATCTATTTTGGCGAGTCGGATGATGCATCCGACTCGAAGGCGACTCCTTACGCTTCCGGATCACCCGAGGCGGACACGGCAAGAGCCAGGTTGACTGGATCTGGTCAACGCGGCGGTATCATGTTCGAGATCTTCGGATCGAGTAATATTTCCGAGGAAGTTCCGCCTCACGCACGTCCATACAACGATAGGACGTTTAGAGATGGTGTTGATGCACCTATGCATCACCACGAGCGAAGCAACTCAAGGGACTGGGATAAAACTGGTGCCAGTGCTAATGCTGGCATCAGTAAAGAAGCCAGGGACCGAAATGTCCTGCGCCACGCTCCCCAAGTGGAGTCTCTGTGGATGCCGTTATCCAGAGAGTTAGACCGGTTGGCCGGTATGACTGCCGAACGGGAATGAATCCCGTTGTTTGATTGCAGGAAGATTTTCTTTCCTGATTTCAGCACGGTAACTATTTGTGCTGAGGAAGAGTTCTTCACCGATGCGTTCTTCGAACATCGTTGGTACAATGGTAGCCGTGTACGAGACGGCAAAGCCTTGGTGCAGGGATGGAATGCCCTCATCCAAAACATCTAGTGCATTGGCCGTGAGGCCTGGCTCGGTAAACTTGATGCAGCTCGCATCAGATTCGAGAAACGCAACCCCGTCAGGGCGCGATACAAGTTGCACCGGCTTTCAATAGAGGCAGGATTAACCTTTCTCTCGTGGGGTGATTTGTTTCCAGGTTGCCTGGACAATTTGAACCGTGCCCCTAGGGAGGCCTTCCTCCCTAATGATCCCTACTGGAGGGCGCGCATCTCTTCCGAGACGGCCGAAGGGATCAACACTTTGCAATACCTTTTCTCGCGTTCGGGAAGGTCATTTTCCGACGGCCCTTCTTCAAACGCAGGGGGTGGGTCTCGTCATACTGTTTGACGAGACCAAGGACATCAACATTCAGCTTGGCGCGAGGCTTCCGGCTCCCACACCGGTGGATAGCCACGCCAGTGGACGAGGTAGATCGTTCGGACGCCCTTCAGGTCGCGGTGGTTCAAGATACGCTTCACCAGGAAGCGTTGACCACCGCTTGAGTCCACCAAGGAATGTGGTGGCGGTGGGAACACCTGATCAGGCTCCAGGTTCGGATCAAGTTAATGTTCAAGAGCGGAACCGTGTAACGAAACAGTTGCAAGATGACCTGGCTCAAGAACGGATTCGGCGTTATGAGCTCCATGACCTTTAAAGGATAATTACAATTCCTTAGCGCATGATCGGTCGAACGATCGTGCCGCATTTGCATTCACACAACTTGAGAACGAACTTTCGACTCGTTCTCTTCGTGACGAGCTGGCTGTAGCTCGTCGAGACATCGCTCCACTGCGTGAGAAGGTCGCTTCGCTAATCGACCAGACTGGTAAGTTGAAACGAGACCACTCGAAGGTGGTCTCGGCCTTTGACCGCGAAGGTATTCTCCGCCTCTCGAAACGGGCTCGTACTGATAGTACGGGCGGAGATGTCCGACATGAAACGTAGGATGCGTGCGTATCCTACAAGGCAATTTAACCGTGTATGCGATGCCAGTATGGCGCAACACATGAAATGTAACGATGTGCTTGGGCAGTAGTTTGCTGCTGCCCACGTTTGTCACTGCGTGTTTTGGAACACTTACTGTAGACAGTAAAACTAAGTCTACTTCATTCAATGAATAAAACATCTGAACTTTCATGTCTGTCTGCATTTCTTCCTGCTTCACTATTGCATCTGCAATCGAATCTTGAAGGAAGAGAACAACCGCTTCGCAAGTCAGCAGAAATTCTTCTGCTGATTCGTCCTTGTCAACAGCAGTGCTCTTTGTGCGCACTGCTGAAAGAACGTTGTCTTCACCAGTGAGGGCGTCATCGTCCTCACTGTGGCAGTCATTGGCGATGCTGAATATGCCAGCATCGTCGTCATCATCATCATCGATATCGAGCGCATCGACAGTGGCATTCATCACGTCGACACCATTTTAGATGGGTGATGAGCAAGAGCCAGATTGGCTTTATGTTCGAGCGAGTCCAACCGCCCTTCAACTAGAGTCATACTCTAAAAGGGCGGGTAAACGTGGATGGCGTAGGCCATTCACGAAGAACGGTGTATGCGCTGTCGACGCATGCACCGAGTTGTTGATGGCAAATTCCGCAATCGGCAAGAACTCACTCTAGCTCGTAAACGAGTGGACATACCCCCGAAGTATCTCTTCGAGAACGTGGTTGACGCGTTCCGTCTGACCATCTGTTTCTGGATGGGTAGAAGTCGACATCGTCAAACGTGTTTCAAGTGAACAATGCACGGATTGCCAAAACTCCGCTGTGACGCGGGGGTCCCTATCAGACACGAGTTCACGGGGTAACCCGTGAAGACGGAAGATAGTATCGATGAAGACACGCGCACAGCCCTGGGCTGTGATTGACGCCGGTACAGCAACAAGATGTACCATCTTGCTGAACCGATCAACAAACACTAGAATACCAGTATTCTTGTGAGTGTCTCTGGGAAATCCAATGACGAAGTCCATCGATACGGACTGCCAAAACTCTTCCGGAATCGGTAGAGTCTGCAAGGGCGCACGGGATGAAGGACTAGTCTTCACCCGTTGGCAATCTTTGCAAGCGCGAAGGTATTTGCGCACAAACTCATACTGGCGAGGCCAGTAGAAGTCACGACTACCTTGAGGTAGGTCTTTTCCCTACCGCGATGCTCACTTGGTGGGGCATCGTGACACTCGTACATGATGCGCAATTGCAATCCATTATGAGCCGGAATGACGACACGAGTTGTATCGCTGTTGAATGCTGTCTAGTACATCAGTCCATCACGAACCGAATACCGTTCGGTGAAGAGCGGTATTGAGACGACAAGCTTTTCAAAGCTTGAATGCATGGTTTGGATACGTGATCCATCAATCGCAGAAGAGACTTATCTTCTGCGTATGCTTTTCGCACGTCGTTGAGCAGATTCGACGACGAAACACTCACTTTTAGTGTCGCTACAGTGGGTTCACCCCTACTGTTGTGTTTGAGCAGTCGGCTTTCAATCGGGCCGACGCGAAAGAGCATCAGCGACGACATTAAGTCGTCTTGGTTTATACTCAACGGAGAAGTTGTACTCCGCGAAGAAAGAAAGCCACCTCGCCATTCGCTGCGAGAGGTGTGGACTGTTTACGACCGTGCGTAACGACGCATGGCCAGTGTAAACAATGAAGGGTCTATCTCCTAATAGATAGACTCTGAACTTCGCGAGTGCATACTTCATGGCAAGGAGTTCCTTTTCATGCACTGGATAGTTCCGCTCAGCTGGTTGCAGCTGACGCGACTGATAGCAGATGACGCGTTCAACGCCTTCTAGGTCGTACTGCATTAATGCACAGCCGATTGCGAAATCGCTGGCATCACAGACCACATGAAACGGCCTGTCCTGATCGGCTATTGTTAGGACTGGGGATTGTATCAAGCTCTGCTTGATACCATCAAAGGAGCGCTGACATTCAGCATTCCATGACCACCTCTCGTTCTTTTTCAACAACTGATAGGGGTGTACAGTCATCTTGGCGTAATTGCGTGAATACTTGTGCCAATACGCCGCTAGCCCAAGGAATTTTCGAAGAACTTTGACATCAACCGGCACAGGCCAGTCAGTGATCGCCTTGATCTTTTCGGGATCAGGACGTACACCGTTCTTACCAACGATGCACCCAAGAAGTGGTATTTCGCTTGCTGCAAATATACACTTCTTGAGATTTGCATACAATTGATGCTTTCGCATGATTGTAAGAACTTGTCGGACGTGGTACCTGTGAACCTCAACGTCCGACTTTCCATCCATAGCTCGACTATGGGTGAATACGTCATCGAAATAACTCGGCGCGAATTCTCGTACTGGTCTCAACAGATGTGATACACATCTGTTGAACGTGGCAGGGGTATTACTAAGCCCTTGTGGCATTACTAGCCATTCCCAGAGCATGCCGCTAGGCGTGCTAACTGCGGTATAGGGTATATCCCGTACTCGCTTAAGGATTTGATAGAAGCCATCCATCAAATCCATGGACGAAAAGATGGTACTCTTTGACATACCATCAATGATTACGTCCTTCCTTGGGATCGGTGTCTGAGCCGGTACCGTTGCAGCGTTCAATTTGTTAAATGCATGCACTATCCGCCACCCTCCTGTTGCTTTTCGCACACAGAAGGTCGGAGAGCTATGTGGGGAAGTTGATTCCCTCACATGGCCCGCAGCTAAACTATCGGCAAAAAACTTGTCGATCCAAAGTACTTGTTCACGAGGCAGTGGCCACTGCTACATGACACAGTACTTCGAGCCTGGTTTAAGCTCGACTTCGTGTCGATTACCTTTATCCTTCGGTAATTCGCACGGAACAGTTTCAGGGAATACATCCTTGAATTCAACCAAATCTTCATAGAGAGGATTTGTCTTGAGCGATTCCCACGATTGGGAGTCATATCGCTCAATTCGTGTCTTTTCATCTAGGACACTCTCGTCCATAGATGAACTACTGAGAACTCTCTCGTTCTCAGTGAACACTGTTGCTGACCTTATGTCGGTTACACACTCGTCGTCAGCGACGAGTATGCAGATCTGCTTGACTTTGCCACTACGCAGATCACGCAAGAACCTTTTATGTTCGAGCGTTGGCAACTGAGTGATCTCCGAAGTCAACTTCGGAGGCGCAATCAGATCAAGTGTGTAAGCGCCTGCTCTTGATCGGTCATTGAATAGGACATTCAATGTCTCTGTCATTTCCAGGGGACCTTTTCCCTCAGGCTTCGAAGGACTTATTCCTTCGTCTTCCCGGGGACTTATTCTCGCGGGTTTCGGGGAACTTATCTCCGCCGTATCTGCAATATCGGGACTTATTCCCTTTACTTCCTCTAGCTGGGGTTGTGCAACCACAGCGAGGTCCTCTACGAAAGACTCTCCAGTCGATCTAGGATTATCGTTTCGCTTAACCTGAGCGATCGATCGTTTCTCTTCTAGATGTTCCCCGCTAGAGATACATCTTTGTCCCGGTCCACTCGACTTATTCGAGTGGTGGACCTTCGGCGCAGCCTGTGTATCCCCACAGCCGCCGGAACTTTGCTCCGAAGTGTAACCGTTCGTTACACTAAGGGTTTGTGCAGTCGTACTAACGACCTTACCACAAGCGAGGCCATCGCACTCACTCGTAGTACATCCACACGCTTGTGGACGCTCCAAAACGTTCATCAGATGGCCATCTGATGAACAAGCGGCAGGCATTGTTACTGTTCGATGTTGCCAGTTTACCCGTGGTTCGTACTTTCTGCGCCACGGTATTCCAAGGGTGACATCAAATTTGTCATCCAAATCCAATACGATAAAGTCATCGTCATATTGGGTATCTTCTAGCGTATAGTGGATCTTCACTATACGCTTCATGACGGTTACGGATGCGCCTGTGGCAAGACGTACCGTCATCCTCGTAGGAGGTGTGTCACATTCACTGAACTTGAAGTGGCCATCTTCTAGCGATTGGCGTCGCACAAAATTTTTGGACGCACCACAATCGACTAGAGCTCGAAGGGACAACTCATTTGTCACTTCGAGTTTCAAGGTAACGAGTGAGATCTCATTACCTAGAGCAGCAACGCACAACGTATGTGTGTTGGGATCAACCTTCGTCAAGAGGCCTACAAATTTTCTTGACGTTGCTGGACCAGTAGGGTGCTTCGCACCTACTGATCCTGTCCGTTTTTTTTACTGTCCATCCCGTTGTTGCGTCTGTGCACCAACAGCGGACCCGCGTCCCTGCCCCTTTCTCATGGATGGACAATCACTACGCCCAGTGTTGCACGACACTGGACGAGGGGCACTACACTCGTAAGCGTAGTGTCCTGTCTTTTGACATATGTTGCATTTCTGCAACTTCTTGTAGCCTGTAGAGCGAGCCTTCTCGCTCTCTATATAACAGAGTTCCATCGGCTCTAAACCTCCGATGTCGTATCGTCTCGGTTGACGATACGATGTCGAGCTGGCGCGAGCCTGTCTCAGACTGAAATCTTCCTGTTCCGCAATGGAAATGGCTTGTTCTAGTGAATCTAGTTCAAGCCGGAACAGGTGAGTCTTGACGGGACCATCCGCAAGACCCTGCATGAACACCGAAGCCAACGTGTGTTCATCCACCGGATTGGAACTTATACAACTTGTAAGATGTCGTATATGTTGCGCGTAAGCGTGCACATCACGCTTACCCTGTTTGAGCTTCAAGAGTTCGGTTTGAGCTCTGAACTCAGCTCTAGGCGGTTCAAAAGTTTGTCTGAGCCGCGACTTGAAGACTTCTAACGACCCAAACGCATATGGGTCGTGCAACTTGAGCCCCAGTGCCCAAGGCTTGGCACGTCCTGCCAGATTTGACTGGGCAAATGCGACTTGCATTTCCCCGTCATCGATGCGACGCGCCATAGTGGCGTCATCTAATTCGACAAAGTATCTCAAGAGGGAGTCCTCTTCGACTCCCCTATACTTGGAGATGTCAATCTTCAAGGTTTCGGGTCGACGCGAGTGCATCGGCCCACCCGCAGCAGCCTGTTGCTGTCTCAACAGTTCAAACTGTTGAGCACCCTGTTCTCTCAACAACTCTGATTGTTGAGAACCTTGTTGGTGAAGCAAGGCTACTTTCTCGCGTTCTGCGTCAAGTTCATTTTGAATGAACTTGGCGATAGTAGCATGTTGGGCATCTCTACTGAGAGCCTCTAGCATGACGCTAACAGCATGGATGCTCATAATTGAACCCATCCGTTCAACCGCATCCCATTCGACATCGCTCAAATGGGAGTAGCCGTCACGCGTAGCGTGAATGCTTTGTTCATCTTCATCATCCAACACATTCATGTTAGATGTGAACGTGGTCCTTGGACGGACTACAAAGTGCTACCAGGTGTAACGGGGCACCCTGAAGCTTGTACTGGTGACAGT